TCTCACATAATAGCAGCACTGGACACAGAATCTTTGCTGTGTTATATTATCGTGACAATTCCATAAATGTGCAGGATTCAGACTCCATCTAGTGGCTGCATAAATACAGTCTAACAGTAATGTTTTTCAAGAGTTCCGGGAATTTCACTCTAGACACATATAATGAGAAACATGACAGCATAAAAACAACATAGGAATCTATGGACCAAATGATACATTTAACGATGAGGCCGGAATGGGATCACTTCTGATTAACTTAGGCACGAGAGTTTGATAGATGTTTGTTGGTGCCCTCCAATGAAATTGGCTTTAAAACAACAACTTGCATTTATGTACCAGGGTATATGTGCGGTAGCATCTTGGACAGCTTAATTCACCCACTGCCGCTGAAACTTTTATTCATGTCTCTGTTACATCTCATTTAGACTTTTCCAAGCTGGTCTCCCAAACGCCACAAGCTGCAGTTTAACCAAAACGACCCTGACCACATCCTCACCACACACCAGAGTCCGCACACCAATCATTTCAATCCTCGCCAGGCTCTACTGGCTCCCTAGCTCCCAACAGACCGATTTCAAGTTCCTCAGATTCACTCCCTATCACCTCCTTATCTCGCTGATCTTCTCCTACCTTAGTATCCATGTCCCTTTTAATAATAATAATAATCCTTGCATTTGATATAGCGCTTTTCACGTCTGCTAGACGTCTCAAAGCGCTTCACTTAGCTTTTCGTTTAAAATTTTCATTTAAAATTAGTTTAGCTTTTGTTCAGCTAGCTCAGTGCACTTTTGTTCAGTGCACTCCCTGCTTTCCCTCTCTGCACCAGCATGGGTGGCCAAGCCTTCAATTCCTACACACCTGAGTCCTAACCTCTATTCCTCCATCACACCCTCTCTGCTTTTAAATTCCACCTCAAATCCTATCTCTTTGAACACACCAGTGGCTACTTCCCCTCCCCCTCTCCCTTGCTTGGTTTTCAACCCTGCCCTTGTATAGGTCCTGGAACAAGTTGTTGCTTCTCAGCTTCGCTCCTTCTTCAGTTGAATGTTCTCCTGATTGGCTCCCATCAGCACCTCCTCACCTCAGGCGCTGACAGCATCACCATCCATGGTTGCACATTCCACCTTACTAAGCCAGTCCAGAACATTGGGGTTTTGTTTGACCCTCAACTATCCTTTCTACCCCACATCTGTGGCATGACCCACTCTGCCTTCCCCAACTTCCGCAACATTGCCCGACTCCACCACTGTCTCACACCGCAGGCTGCAGAAACCCTCATACATGCTTTCATTGCATCGAGGCTTGACTATGCAAACTCCCTGCTTGTCAGCCTCCCCAACCCCTCTCTCCACAGGCTGCAGATCATCCAGAATTCTGAGCCCGTGTCCTCTCCTGCACCAGGCTCCGCGACCTTATCACCCCCATCCTTGCCCAACTCCACTGGCTTCCCATCACACAGAGGGTACAGTTCAAGATCCTGTTCCTCAAACTTCAAGGCCCTCCATGGTCTTGCTCTTCCCTATCTCTCCGACCTCCTAACCCCCTCCAATCCTGCTCGCTCCCTCTGCTCAGCGGGCTCCGGCCTGCTTCACATCCCCCGCCTCGCTCGTCCCACTATTGGCAGACGGGCCTTCTGCCACTCTGCCGATGTGAAAGATGCTATACAAATGTAATTTTGTTGTTGTTGTTGTTGTTATATCAGTCTGAGATGTTATCTTAAATGAAGCATACTATATTAATGCAACTTGCTGTCATTATTAATATGTGATCTTTGACAGTGAGTGTCAGTAGGTTATTTGGCTGCAGAGGGTGTGATGGTACATCCCTATCCTGTTGTCACCACGATGTCCACACATCTGCATTATCCAGCAGATGTCTATAATAATAATACTAATAGATAGTAATCTGGGATGAGAACTCTCGCTCATTTACCCCTCCCCACTCATGTAGGCTGCGGTCAATTGCAGTGCGTTGCAGGATTTGAAAGTGAAATCTATTGTCAAGTTTTGCAATCGAGTTCAAGGTGCTTGTCCTCACCTTTAAAGCCTTCCATGCTCTATCCTTCCTTCACGACCTATTAAATCTTTACTAACCTGTCCGCTCCCTCCACTCTGCAGGCACTGGCTTGCTTCACATCCCCCACCTGATTGCTCCACTCTCGGCGATTTGACATTCAGCCTGTCTGCACCCACCCTCTAGAGCTCCATCCTGGAGTCATAACATAACATAACATGTAGGAGCAGGAGTAGGCCATTCGGCCCTTCGAGCCTGCCCCGCCATTCAATCATGGCTGATCTTCTAATCTAACTCCAGCTAATAACCTGACCCTGCCTTATCCCATATCCCTTAATCCCTTTTGCAATAACAAATCTATCTATCTCAGTCTTGAATATATCCCTCCATCTCGTCCTCTCCTTCAAGACCCAGCTCAAAACCTACCCTTACGACCGTGTCTTTGGTCATCCCTCCTTCCCCCTCACCTTGCACTCCACCCTGCTTTGAACCCAACCCGCAGCTCAGGTACAAACCACTCACTGTCCAGAGCCTTAGGATATCCTCCGATGTGAAAGGCACTATATAAATGCAATTTGTTGTTGTTGCAGTAATTTTATGAAAAGAAATAAACAGATGCTGATGGTAAGAAATTACTTGATGCACTGAAATTTGCCAATGTCATTGTTTTGTTTTCATATATGTTGTTGAAAGATTTTTTCAGAAACTGACAGAATTTACAGAATGTAAATATGGCTCCATTTGCTCCAGTCAAACTCAAACCTAGTAACTGTGAATATTAAATGTACTTCTCAGGCGATAATGTTTCAAATACTTTTTATTTACTTATATCCATAATTCAAGTCTTCAATGAAAATACATAAATTATTAAAATAAATATAACACCATTTATAGAAAATATATAAATAAACGAGTACATTTTATAAAAAATAAATAAAAGTACCGTAGAAATAAATACTAGCAAGAAAAGTTTTTCTACACACAATATTGCATTGATTCAACATAGTTTCTACACTGAATTACAACAGCAGAATAATAAGGGGTGGAATGTATGTATTTTTCCCCTTATTATTCTGTTGAACGTTATAATTATCGAAACCTCTACTACTCCGCCCAGCCCACTCCCACCCTCCATAACTGTTTGATCCAGAGGAACTGACAGTGATTTATTTGGTTTGGAGCACAGCTCACATAACCAACTATAAAAGGGTGCTTCCAGATTCAATTAAACATGCATTGCTGTAGCATAACTTTTAAATTTAAATACTTTGAGATTAAGATTTCCCAGGCAGTCTACTTGATTGCCTTTAATATTATTAGAGCACTTGCTCTTTGATGTCTTTAATACTTAACTTGCAGTCAGTGCCAGGTAGAGGAACTCTGTGCATCCAATATAGGTTCAGATGTGCAGAGCCTTCCTTTATTTAGACAATAAAAACAACTTTGCAGTAAGTATCACAATGAATTGGCAATTGCAGTATTACTGCCGCATAAAAATCATTTTACATAGTTCAATATTACAAAAAATTGTTTTATGAGCAAACAATAAATAAAATATTATAGTGCATAAATATCACATTACTTATCAAATTTCAAAAAATAAATAAAATGAAATAAATACTAAACAATAAAAAATTCAAAATTGTTAAACAATATTGTCAATATAACTGCAAACTTTGCCTGTGATAAACTAAAGGAGATGTTTCAGCAGCTCAGTGCACTGCACTTAGATAGCATTGGTTCTTGAACAGAACAACATTCAGTTACTTCGATAGCAATTTTTTCTCAGATATTCTGAAATGTTCAATATTCATACATTTAGATAATTGCCTCCCTTTCTTACAGATATTACAAGCCAGGGGACAGAGAATACATAAATTATTAAAATAAATATAACACCATTTACAGAAAATATGACATTTTTCTAAAATCTGAACTCCAAATACAGTCTGTTCAAGCTAATATATATCTTTCCAGTGGGTGACTATGTAAACTTGACCACCTTAAAAGTTGTATGCACACCAATGGATGGTCCATGAACACTCAGAAAATGTTTACTACTCTTATTCAACAGGTGGTGATACAAACACCTTTTTAACAACATACAAAATAATAAAACATCAGTATCAATATTAACAAGTATAGCTGTGCTAGGCTTGAAAACCCAACCAGTTCACCTACATATAGTATCATTTTGTCTTATAATTTAAGATGGCACAGAATCGTGGAAAATTCTTAAATTCATTCTTAATTTGAAAGCCAGTTTCATTTAAGTACTGCAGAAAACTGGGTTCCAGATGAAGACTGAATTTGAAAACGTTTTCACAATTTTGTACTTACATTTTAGAACAGAATCATCTCATGGGTGAAATATTAGATGGAATTTCAGACCTCGAAAGACCAAAACTCTTCTCAGCCCATTGTGAGAGCAATCGGTACCGGGTTGTACAAATTTAGTGCTCTGCTCTGAAACACTCTACTGTTGGAAGCAGGCCTTTAACACTGAATTCACTCATCCAGATAAATAAATAAATTATTAAATAAATAATGTTAATTCTCTGCAGACACTGAAACTCATGAGACACGATAACTTCACTAAATGACAACTGCTCTCAGCTTGGTGTCTGATACATACTAAAAGTCATTACCAAGAGTAAGTACAAGGGTATCCAAACTAGGCTGAGAGTTTCATATTGCGTGCCACCTACACATGGGATTTTCCCGTTGTCTGGAATAGAATACCTTGCAATTGAGTTTACTGTCTGTTAAGCTTCCTGCTGCCTATTCAGCGAGGAATGTACTTTAGGGCTATGATTTGCAGGCTTAACGGAGCTGAATGGAAACATCCCTGCGTGTTTAAACACATATTATATACACAACAAACTTAACCTGCATTGCGATCTTGCTGTCATTGAAAATAACTTCACTGATCAAACTGATTAAACTCCAGCAGTACCCCAACATATACTCTGGGGTCCTCAAGTCATGGCTTTTGCCAATCTGTGCCTAATACTCAGGAATTAGTTAAGCAGAGTGTGCCCCTCCGAAGACTGTTCCATTTCATACCCAGAAATTTCCTGTATAGGTGGCTTGCATAGAATTCTCAGTATAGTTTGGATACTCTTAAGCATGGTAATCGGTATTGCATACGTCAGACACCAGGATGACCAAAAAAACAACCAGAGTGCTTTTTACTTCTTCTCAGCACGGTCACACAGGACAGTGTCCAAGCAAAAGTTGTGGTGCACCACAATCCCCAGATACTGATAAGGATCAACATTTGGGATGGATGTCCCTATGTCTTCCAATCAATATCTTCAAGGTTGCCTTTTATGAGTTGCACAAAGGGATAATACTGCATTAATACCGTGTTGCCCTCCTATCAGTAAAGTGATGCAGTGTGGAGTTCACTTCCTTCCAACTGAGTGGATCATTTTGGCCTTCAATCTGTACAATAACCTTCGCAAGCTCTTCTACCCTTCAACGTTGCATAATTCTCTTTCTTGATGTCAAGGATGCAGTCATAGGTCTGTTGTAGCGCAACTGGACTTACTTAACACCAGCACCAAAATCACCACAACCCAGGGGTAAATTCACAACCTTGGTGCTGATTTAAAGAATCGAATGGCTCTGAATGTTTTCTCCATGAAAATAGTAAAGTCTCTAAGGATGACGTGGACTTTCACTTGGGTATCCCACTCTACTCCAGAGGTCAGATTTGCGGCGGAAACCTCCTGCTCACTCATAGCCAGCTGAGTGCTGCCAACCTCGGTTGTTAACTGAAATAACAAAAAAACAGGATAATGAGTGTCTCAGGCTTCCAGAGCAGCTGTAAATCTATGTCTGCTGTTTCCCCTCTTCTTTTTGAGCTCAGCAAAGTTTACATATTTCATGGTCCTGGGCAGATAACAAGATATTTGCAGGCACATTCTTGAAAACCTACCTCGCCAACCTGCTTATACACCATTCCACTACCCACTCCCTGCACTCAGCTGCCTCCAATCTTCTACAAATCCATCAATCCCTTAAACTCTGGAACTGTTTGGTTCAATCCATCTACCTTGTCTTTGTCTTGCCACCCCCTTCCCATCTTCCAATTGCACCTGAAAAACTTCCTCTGTGACCGTCCCTATAGTCACTTCACCTCTCTCTCCAACTTGGCATCAAGTTCCGCCACTGTTTCCAGCGCCTTGGGACGTCCTCCCGACGTGAAAGGCGCTATACAAATGTAATCTTGTTGTTATTGTTGTTAACTGCTCTGAGATGCTACTCGCATGAAAGGTGCTATATAAATACAAGTTGTTACATATAGTAGTTTCTGCAGCAAAAGTCCATTTGCACTTACCTGATGTGTGAGAAGCTCAGTTAGACGCTGGACATTGGAGTTCATCCTCACTATTTTATCATTTGGACTCCCCAAAGAATTCTCCAGCATTGACAAACTTGTCTTGTATTTCATAAGGCCAGTGACAATCGCTTGCAGGCATGTTTGCTGAAGAATAAAGGGAAGTGTTAAATACAAGCTATTTTGACAAGGTATATTTCTTTGACATTGCACCATAATTTCAAGAAAACACTGAGAGCCAGTAAATTGCACTTTGGAAAGTTTGAGTTCACTTTTCCTGGTCTCTATCAATCTTGTTACTCATTAACCCCATGCTTGCCACTTTTCCTGGTCTCTATTAATCTTGTTACCCATTAACCCCATGCTTGCCAGTCTTATTGGCTCACAACTCCTTGGTGGATCAATGTCAAGAACCCTCGGCTTGACCATCAAATCGCTTTGTGACATTTTTCATCCTACCTCAGCAATATAATCCAGCATTCTTCTCTTGCCTGTACATTCAGTTCTTCCGATACTCGGCTACAAATGGTTTCTCACTCTCTCCTTCCCACTATTGAATTTTCACCCATTAACCACTTGCCCTCTGGAACTCGCTCCCTCAATCTCCTCACCTTGCTCCTTCTCTACCTTGGAAACATTCTCAAACCTTATCTCTTTCACGTACGTTTGGTCAGAATCCTCAAATACCCCTTCCTTGCTTGGTGATCCCCATTTTCTTTGTAAAGCACTTTGCAACATGAATGAACTAGAAAAGTGTATTTTAAGTGCAATTTGCTTTTTTAATTGTCCTCACGTTCCCTCCTTCCCTTCTTGCTAGGAGGTCTTCCCAGCGCCTTGGGACGTCCTCCCGGCGTGAAAGACGCTATACAAATGTAATTTTTTTTGTTGTTGTTCCTAAAACCCTTCCAGATGTTACACTTTGTGGAGGATGTTAGATAACAATTTGAAGCTATTATCTACAGTCTACAGTTGTTATCTATTGAAGTTTTGTTAGGGTTACCTATCACATGAGAGATTGACTCACATTAAAAGAAAGAAGTCTTGTGCCCCCCACACACACAAACACGCAAGATTATGATTTTCTTTTGCACTAAAACTGCCATTAACCACGTTTGCACTGACCCTATGGTAATACCTGGACCATTGCATTACAAGAAATATATTCTAAAACAATCAAACAATAACTATCAGGGGCACTTACCTTGTGGTAATTGGTCCTTGAACACCGGTCTTCAGCCTGTATTTGGGGCAGATGGAGCTGGTTGCTCAGCAGTTTGCTCCAGTCACCGTCACACTGGGCGAAGTAGTCACACAACTATAAGGCAAAGTGGGGGATGAGAGTGTGTGAGCAGCCAAACTGCTGGCGGTGTGAGTGAGAGCCTACAGACAGCCTACAGTGAGACCCTACAGACAGACTACAGTGAGAGCCTACAGACAGACTACAGTGAGAGCCTACAGACAGACTACAGTGAGAGCCTACAGACAGACTACAGTGAGACCCTACAGACAGCCTACAGTGAGAGTCTACAGACAGACTACAGTGAGAGGCTACAGACAGACTACAGTGAGAGGCTACAGACAGACTACAGTGAGAGCCTACAGACAGACTACAGTGAGAGCCTACAGACAGACTACAGTGAGAGGCTACAGACAGACTACAGTGAGAGGCTACAGACAGACTACAGTGAGAGCCTACAGACTACAGTGAGAGGCTACAGACAGACTACAGTGAGAGCCTACAGACAGACTACAGTGAGAGCCTACAGACAGACTACAGTGAGAGGCTACAGACAGACTACAGTGAGAACCTACAGACAGACTACAGTGAGAGCCTACAGACAGACTACAGTGAGAGCCTACAGACAGACTACAGTGAGAGGCTACAGACAGACTACAGTGAGAGGCTACAGACAGACTACAGTGAGAGCCTACAGACAGACTACAGTGAGAGGCTACAGACAGACTACAGTGAGAACCTACAGACAGACTACAGTGAGAGGCTACAGACAGACTACAGTGAGAACCTACAGACAGACAACAGTGAGAGGCTACAGACAGACTACAGTGAGACGCTACAGACAGACTACAGTGAGAACCTACAGACAGACTACAGTGAGAGCCTACAGACAGACTACAGTGAGAGCCTACAGACAGACTACAGTGAGAACCTACAGACAGACTACAGTGAGAGCCTACAGACAGACTACAGTGAGAACCTACAGACAGACTACAGTGAGACGCTACAGACAGACTACAGTGAGAGGCTACAGACAGACTACAGTGAGAGGCTACAGACAGACTACAGTGAGAACCTACAGACAGACAACAGTGAGAGCCTACAGACAGACTACAGTGAGAGGCTACAGACAGACTACAGTGAGAGCCTACAGACAGACTACAGTGAGAGGCTACAGACAGACTACAGTGAGAGGCTACAGACAGACTACAGTGAGAGGCTACAGACAGACTACAGTGAGAGCCTACAGACAGACTACAGTGAGAGCCTACAGACAGACTACAGTGAGAGGCTACAGACAGACTACAGTGAGAGGCTACAGACAGACTACAGTGAGAGGCTACAGACAGCCTACAGTGAGAGGCTACAGACAGACTACAGTGAGAGGCTACAGACAGACTACAGTGAGAGGCTACAGACAGACTACAGTGAGAGCCTACAGACAGACTACAGTGAGAGCCTACAGACAGACTACAGTGAGAGGCTACAGACAGACTACAGTGAGAGGCTACAGACAGACTACAGTGAGTGGCTACAGACAGACTACAGTGAGAGGCTACAGAGAGTCAGTCAGTCCCTCTTACCTGTTGGAACCGCAGCTCTGCCGCTGTGCTCCGGATCTGCAGCGCCAGAGACTCAGAATCACCAAAGCCTGGAGCTGATCGGGAAATTCTGGCCATAACATCAGCTTTTCGTGTCAAATCTTTCACAGGGAAAGCAGCAAAACATCCGAACAGCGCCAAGAAAACTTGGCAGAAATCTGCAGACAAAGAGAGAGACCAGAGGATTATAAACACCAGCTCCTCCAACAACCACTCCCAAGAAAATTGTTTTTCACAAAGTTATTCCTTGTGGATTATACTAACATTGTGCAGAAGTCATTGTTAAAATGTGTTGCTTACTGTATTGCTGAGGAACAGTGGCATTTTATACCCTTCAGCTCTTTACTCCTGTGTTTATCACCGGATTGCCAATCATCTGTGGAAAATCCAAACTTGCAATTTCCTATCATTTTTTTGGGCCAACGTCAAGGATTGATTGTTGCCTATTGATATGTCACCAAAGCAAACCTCCTCACCGGGATTACTAATACTCGATACAGGAAATGCCATTTTGCAATTTCCCACCAGCACTACCAGGATCGCTCACCAGGGATGGCTTTACTGTGGGGTACTCAACCCTTCCAACAATAACATCATCATTTGGTCCCTTCAGTCCAAGACTGATGTGTGGGACACTGCTGTGCATACTTGACTGGCACGTTTCCCCCCACAATGTATACTGTCGCTACACTTTACAGTCTATTCCGTGAAGCGCTTTGAGATGTCTTGAAGATGTGATAAGGCGCAAACGCAAGGATTATTATTATATTTATTGTTATAAATGAAAGGTAACTTAATCGTGACCTGTATGTCAAATTAAAGATTGAAGCCACATAAGCCCGTGACTGGATCACTCTGTAATATTCTACTGTGTATTAAGGACATGAGATTCGGGGGAGTTTGGTAAATTTGTGGTCAAAGTTTCCAGTTCTGTGCTCACAATTGTGGGCATTTGTTCATTTTGTGTTATTGATATGTGAAGACTTTCATGTTCATTTATTTTTAAAACACAGTCCATAATTAAGTTACTGCTGTGAATTTTTGTACAGTAGTAACCAAGCACTCCGAGATACTACCCTGCGTGAAGGGCGCTATATAAATGCAAGTTGTTGTATTTTTGCTTAAAGAAATTGCATTTTTGTCAGCCTGTCTCAGTTGCAAGCACTCTTGCTTCTGAGTTAAAAGGATGTGAGTTCAAGCCTCAGTTTTTGGATTTTGAGTTTACAGTTTAGGCTTATATTCCATTACAGTGCTAGGGGAGCACTGTATTCCTCAATTATAATTCTTACATTTGATATAGTACCTTTCATGTTAGGATGATGTCTCAAAGAGCTTCACTGGATAATAATAATAATCATCCTTGCATTTGATCACCATCTTATCACGTCTTTGAGATGTCTCAAAGCACTTAACAGAATATACTATAAAGTGAATTGACTGTATATTTTGTGGGTGAAATGCAGCAGCCAATTGAGCACAACAGTGTCCCACAAACAGTTGTAAATTGAGTGATCAATTTATCATTTTTTTACTTTTGAAGGAATTATTACCCCTAGAAAATGGATCTGCCAATCGACTAACAACCAGGTTCCTATTTACTGCTAGGTAAACAGAGGCTTGTGGAGTAAGGAAACATGCCCAATGTTTCACCCTGCCGGGAATTGAACCCAAGTCTCTCCCTTGCGAGGCGAGTGTTCTAACCACTGAGCTACATGACTCTACTTATATTGTATAGGATATACTGCAAAGTGAATTAACTGTGATTGTGGGCATAAGAGGCAGCCAATTTGCACACAACAATTTCCCACAAACACCCATGATATTAATTTTATTTGGTGCATTCTTGTCCAGAACATTGAGAGAAATTCCCTTCTCTTTTCAAGCAGTGCTAATGAGATGTTTAATGTCCACCTGAAAAGGTGTTTCATGCAGAGATGTGTTGCTCACCCAGGAAGCTCACAGGAAGTACCTGGTAGCTGCTACCCACCAATTGAGGGCTCAAACCCCCGCCTGCCAAATAGCAAATTAGCAACTGGTGACGTCCTCCATGGGGAGAGTTAAGAAGGATTTCTTTGAACCTAAGATGACTCCAAGATAGTGTGTTTGGATACATGATATCAGAGTTGACCAACACTCTGTGGCGGTCTTAGTAGTTCAGTTCCTGACCCAGATAGAGCACTGCTGTTCACGACCAGCCAGCCTGGCTTGTCAATTGCACGTGCAGGCTATGCGGTTTTAGGTGGTTAAACTCCAGCACTACTCTTAACACAAACTTTAGGATTCCCAAGCTTTGGGTCTCGCCAACCTGTGCCTAACACCCTACGGAAATATACAAGTACGGTGTGTCCCTCCAGAGAATGAGTGCGTATTTTACTCCAGACCCAGAAAAACGTCCAGATATAGGTGGCATACATTTGTAGACCTTGCTGTATGGTTTGGATACGCAATAAATCATCCTGTGTGAAGGGCGCTATATAAATGCAAGTCGTTGTTGTTTCCACATGGGTCAGACATCTGATTGACCCCCAAAAAATACTATTCAAAAAGAGTCAGTAGTTTTTCCTGGCGTCCTGGCTGACAATCTCCCAAATCAAATTGGTCATTCACTCCAGGGCTGTTTGCGGGACATTGCCGTGTACAAATTGGCCGCCACGTTCAAAACATTTTAAGGTAAAAATCTGCATTTTAAGGTAAGAATCTGGGAAATTGAGAAAATTCAATTTTCTCAAAACTTATTTCTCCCCTCGCACCTTCGTCAGAACCAGGGACAGATGCAATAGGTGCTGGAAGAGTACACTGGATTGTGTATTTCCGACTTCCGTATATAATTAGGAAGGAAATAGTGGTTAAATTCTGGGAATATCCCTTCAGCTTCTCCCTGTGTGATACGGGATTACTAAACAGCCACAGGCGCGTCAGTTGACGTCTTGCGGAGCAGCTGTAACTCTCTCAGGCTTTGACTCATGCTTTTAGTCACTAAAGTGTTTGATCAGAGTCGTATATTTTCCTCTCCGATCAGTTAGATGTAATCACAAGATATTGCAAATAATATGGAATAGCAAAACGCATCTCGAGATGCGGGTACTCTGCGGGAGCTGCCGAGGAGTGATTTCGGGACACTCGAAGTGTAACACATTGATGCTAATGCCCAGACGTGGCTCCCTGTGTGTGGGAGGGTTTGCAAACCTTGTCAAGCTCTGGTGTTTTCCTGTTCTTGGCAACTGAGCATCGGAAGGAAATACAATTGCATCTCAACAACATCTGTCTGCAACCCGCACGACAGACCGACCACGATTGCACGGGCTCCAAAGCACAGATATATTGGGAGAAATTCCACCCGGGACTGGGTCTCCTCTTGTTTTCTCAGCATCTCAGAGTGTCCAGAATTTATCACGTTCGTGCAGATAGATTTAATTTTGAAGTTCATTTTCCATAAGTTCTTCTGAGAACTGCAGCAAAACAATTCAAAGTTAAGGCTGAATTCAGCGACTTGCCTAATTGTGGATCTTCTACAATGCTAAGGGAATAGAGTAAATAATAAACAAACAAATAAACAAACAAACAAACAAACAAATAAACAAACAAATAAATAAATGAATAAATGAATAAATTAATAAATGAATAAATTAATAAATTAATAAATTAATAAATTAATAAATTAACAAATGAATAAATTAATAAATTAATAAATTAATAAATTAATAAATTAACAAATTAATAAATTAATAAATTAATAAATTAATAATAATCCCTAAAAGAAATTGGTCATTCAATCCACAACTGTTTCCAGGCTACTGCTGTACGTAATTGGTTGCTGAGTTTCGCCCACAAAATACACAGTCTATTCACTTTACGATGTATTCTGTGAAGTGCTTTGAGACGTCTCAACGACATGATAAGGCGCTATATCAAATGCAAAGATTATTATTATTTTAAACAGAATATTTATCTTATCAGTCAGGGCAGGTTCAGCGCCCATAAAGTGTTCATGCCAGCCCACAAAATATTCCGATCATGTTCAGCACATGGGAGGGTGTTTTATCTTACCATAATGATAATAATATAACAATCATAATGCTTGCATTCCTTACATATAGCGCCTTTCACGTCGGGAGGATATATCAAAATGCTTCACAAGATTCACTGTAGAGTGTAGTGACTGTGTATTTGTAGGCAAACATGGCAGCCAATTTGCGCCCAACAATGCCTCACAAATCAAGTCCCACATCCGTGAAGTGAATGTTTTATCTGGGGGATTATAAATTCATGTTTGCACCTCTCAGTTTGTATGGTTTGGAAGGGGTGGGACATATTGGGACATCCTCCCGACATGAAAGGCGCTATCCAAATGTAATTTTGTATTGTATTTTGTTTAGATATATGATATATATACTTTTTTTAAAAAAAACTGCCATTTGGAAAAATATTGTATTAATGTGTTCGCATTTTTAATCTGCTTAAGTCTCCCAACTTTATGGGAATGATTTATACATCAATATAATTCTGTTCAAAGGTTGTCGTCTTATAGGGTAGACCAGTCACTGAGGGCAGGGAGTCATCTTAGCTCTTGTTAACCCTGCAAACCAAAGCGCTAACGGGTAGGGTGGTCCTAGCTGGACAAGCAGTGCTATCAATGGCAAACTGCGGTTTTAGCTGGTTAGACTCCAACAATCCCCCAACACACACTTTAGGGTCCTCAAGCCTTGGCTCTTACCAACCTGTGTCTAATGCTCTCCGGATTTGGGTAAGCAGGGTGTGGCCCTCCAGGGAGAGCGTGTACATTGTATTACAGTAAATACCTTGGGAAATTCCATGCAAAGGTGAGTCACATGAAATTCTCAAGTCTGGTTTGGATAAGCATGTGTCAGATACCCAGCTGAATGAGGAAAGAAAAGCTGACCCTCCAATGCAGTGTTAGGGGAATACTTCATTGTCAAAGGTGCCATCCTTCAGATGAGATGTTAAACCATGATTCTGTCTGACTGTTCAGGTGGATGTTAAAGATCTCATGGCACTATTTGATTTATAAATATCCAACTCCTTCAAAAATGATTCTAAGATGGTTAAGAGATAACTTCTTGTAAAATGTATTA